GATCTTGGGAGAGGTACTGGTCCTGTTGGTAGTGTTGAGGCTTGGGGGGCATGGCGTGGGTAGTGAGTCCCTTAGGCTGGGACATGCAGTGGCTTTAGCAGGATGCCAAGGCGGGAGATGAGGGGAGGGACCTCCAGAAAGGGCTTCATATGCTGGGGGGAGCTGTGAACCCGCTCTGCAGTGGATGGAAGCTGACCAGAGGGAAGGTGACAGGGCAGTGAGCAGTGGTGGGCACTGATGGCTCCTGAATGCCTGCTGTGTGTGTGGCGGGGCTGCCGGTGGGCTTTGCTTAGTTGCCCCTCTGAGAGCCCGGGGTGAGGTGGTGGTGAGGTGGAGGTGGTAGGTTTGAGGCTTGCACCCCAAGGTGAGGCCAGGGCAGGCTGAGGCTGGGGTCAGGGGCTTGGTGATAGCCGATTGGCCTGTGAGTCCTACCTCCCTGGCAGACAGCCCTCCCACCCTCTCCCCCTGCCACCAGTCTTGAACCTTTCTGGGTTACCTTTCCTCCAGCCTTGAACCTTTCTGGGTTACCTCAGAAGAGTGGACAAGTGGCAGTCCTGTGCCCTGGATTGGCCACCCTGCTGTCTGCAGCTCTCACCCTCCCTAGTGCTCTTTGAGTGTCCTCTGGGCTGGGTTGGTACAAGTGTGAGGTCCCTACGGAGGCACCATGAGACCCCCGTCCTCCCAGGGATAAGGACACCCCACGCCCACCCCTATAATCTTCTTCCTTGTCTCTGGGCTTCCACTTACTGGTGAGTCTCAGGGCTCTGAGGAGGGCTTAGCACGTGTGGCTGCTCCTGACCTGCCCCCAGGGACAATGGGGTGAGGTTGGGACGAGCAGAGTCAGGTCGGGGCGGGGACTGGGCCAGCCCTCAGCTGGACCAGGGAGGGAGGAGCCGCTGGCCCAGGCAGAGTGGAGTGCAAGCCAAGCCAGATCCCCACAGCCATTCCTTTCGGGCTCTGGACTCTGCACGGGCAGCATGCTGGAGGCCCCCTGCCCACCCTTCCCACCAGGCCCCTACCCCGACAGAGACTCCTCCACTCCTCAGCACTGCATCCCCAAGCCACCTGGCCCAGGTCACAGCTGGGCTGGGGCCTTCCAGAGAGAAGAGGTGAGACCTACAGAGGTGGGACAGCCATCTGCCCTCAAACACCCCCCCCCCCAACATACACACACAACAGGTGCTGTCTGTTTTACAGACCCCTCAGAGCCCAGGACAACAGCAGCTTTGATGGCCCCACTCGAACCCAGCCCAACCCAAACCTGCTGGAGGTTCTCAGGACAGGACTGGCTGGGGGTGTGGCTCTAGGGAAGGAAAGTGAGTGCCTGCTGAGTCTTAGGGAGCCGCCCAGGTCTAGGAGGCTGGACCCAGGGGCTGGCCACCAGCAGTGTAGGTGGGAGAGTCCTGCTTAAGGACCGAAAGCCAGTTCCACTGGGTGCACTGGGCTGGGGTGCACTGGACACGGAGGCCTGAATCCGTGATCGTGGGGGTGCTGGAGACACGGGCACTGGTTAGACTTGGGGTCCTGAGGGCCACAGCCAGCCCCTCCAGTGAGGTGAGGGTGGAGGAGAATCCAATCAGGTTTGGGCTTTTAGGTGCTAAGCTGAGTGGTAGCAGGGTAGCAGGCCAACGGTCTGCATTATGGGCGACTCCAGGTGAGAATCTGGTGGCATAGTGGGGGTGTTAGTCCGGGTTGACTAGAGAAACAAATTCCTAGACACTCGTGTATAAGAGAGAACTTTATATCAGAGAGTAATTGTACATTAAGAAAACAACCCAGCCCAGTCCAGATCAAGTGCATACGTCCGAAATTACCCCATATGTCGATACTAGTCCTTAAATTCCACTTCAGATTCATGCAACACATGCAATGACGCTGAATACAGGAAGATCACAGGCCAGTGGGTGGGAAATCTTATGGATCCAGTGGCGGTGGAAGCAGCTCAGCGCTGGCGTGGGTCTCCACGTGGCTCCTCCAGCTCCAGGGCTCGGGCTCTATCCGCGTAGCTCCATGTGGCTTGTCAACAGGAATGTCTCGCAGGGAGTGTGGGTGGGTCTGGCCTCCTGTGAGCCATTTATCTCCATGGCACCTCCAAATGAGGTCATTGAGCTGCAGCCTGATGGACAGGCTAGGCTCCACCCCCTCGCAAGTTGACACGCCTTGGGCTCCTAATCACTAGTTTGCCTGGGTCTCAGATCTGTTGTAGAAAGCCCACCGCCTTGCAGGGGGGAAAGATGAGGCTTTCTGCTCCTGCAGAAGAGTCAGAGCCTTGGAATCCACAAAAGTTGTTCTATTCTGTCCTATAGGCCGTAAGTCAGATTGGACTCAGTGGAAGTGAGTGAGGGCGGGTGAGATAGCCTAGTGACTGAACTCAAGTGAGGATGGTTTGGGTGAATAAGAAGGGAAGATGGTGGTGGACTCCCGTTGAAGGTAGCCGAGGGGTTTGGTGGGTCTCTGAGGCCGGAGTCCAAGGTCACATGGTCAGTTTGGACTAGTTGGTCAGCAGCCAGGAGTGGCCCTGCCCTGGAACAAACATCTGGTTCTCAGCAGCCCCAGAGGTGTAGCTGGAACTGTGGTAGCGGCCAGGGCCTCCTGCCGTGGCCTCCTTTCCTCACCTGTGAATGGGAGAGGGGTTCAGAAGAAATGGTCCGGAGCCCTGGTCAGCACCTGTACCTCTGTGTTCCTTGCTTGTTGGTGGGCGGATGAGCAGGTAGGCAGAGGGTAGGGAGCTCAGCAGAGGTGACAGACATCCTAGTGGTGAGGGCTGACCTCTCTGGATTACCTACGTCTCAGATCTGTGCTAGAATACATGGAGAAAAGGACTCGCCCACAGGACCACCACCCAGGGCTTAGAAGTTTTAGCTAGTGACGGTCAAGCCAAGACTTACTCAGTTGTTTATGTGCCCCTAAGCCAAGAGATAGGCCTACTCCCAGGTCCCTGCAGCTGCTGAGCTGCAGTGAAGGGCGCTGTGGTAGCAGGGGTCCCAATCCCTTCCCTAGATAGGCTCCACCCCTACCTCCAGGCTCCACCCCCAACCTATTCTATTGGTCTCTGGCTTGCAAACCCCACCTCTGTATTTTAGCCTCACCCCATCCAAACTTAGGCTCCGCCCCCAGCGTGGCCTCCTTGCTGAGCCTTGGGTGCCCCGGCCAGGGGGCCCCCCCACATCCCTGCGGTCTGCCGGGAGGAAGCGGCCCTCCTCCCCCACCGTGACTCTGCGCTTCCTGCCAGGGCCCCGGGCGGGAGGGGACATTTCCCGTTCACACCAAAGTTTCCCTGGTGGCACCCAGACTGGGGCTCAGCCGCCATCCCTCTTGCCCATGGAACTGGCTGTGGGGCCTGGGGTCCAGGTAACCAGCGAGGGTGGGCGGAGGTTCCTGCCGCCGCGGCACCGGGCAGCTGGGTCTATGGGCGTGGATGTTGTGTGTGCGTGTGCATGGGTCCGTGTGCCCGATGGTGTACAGGATTCACAGACGAGGACGGCAGGCTGTGACTGCCAAACTGGGAGAAGGTGCAGGGTCCAGCCAAGCCCAGGGCTCTGTGTAGGGGCGGCTGGCAGCGCTGATGCAGCCTGATCCACAGGCATGCCCCAGGCCCTGTACGCACTTGGGAACCTCCCCTGGCTGTCAGTGCTGCCAGCACCCCACCCCCTCACACACCCCCTAGGGATGTGGGAGGGGAGACTGGGAGGAGCAGATGGGGGACCTGGAAGGAGTCTGCATAGTGCCCCCTACTCTCCTGGTGCTGACCATCCCAGTTCCTGTCCTTCCTCCTTGCTCTCTCCCCACCCATCTGTTCCATGTCCCCCTCCACTGGCTACCTGCCTGTGCCCAGTGAGTGCTCCGCCTGCCCCTCACTGTGTCCCCCTGGCTCTGTGCTTGCAGAAGGACCTGGGCTACCTACAGCAGTGGCTGAAGGCCTTTGTGGGTACCTTTGAGAGGAGTATCTCGCTGTCCTCTCTCGAGCCCCGCAGGTGAGGCTGCCACTACAGGGAGGGCTGGGCTGGGCAGGGCGAGTGGGGGGGTCCATTTTCCAGTAACCCACTCTGCGCAGGCTGGAGGAGACAGGCGCGGAGGTGCCGCTGCTGCCCCTGGATGCCCTGCACGTGCTGGCCGAGCAGCTGGACCAGGGAGACCTGGAGCAGGCCTTGCTGCGCCTCAAGCTCTTCATCATCCTCTGCAGGTGGGGCGAGCGTCCCTGGGGAGGGGAGGGGGCGAGGACCACAGGCCAGAGGGTCACTGTGACCTCGCCCGCCCACCATCCACTCTCCCAGGAACCTGGAGAACGTGGAAGCAGGCTGGGGCCTGGTGCTGGTGCCCCGGGTGCTGGCCTTGCTGACCAGCTTGGTGGCCGAGGTGAGGGGGCTCCACCGTGGGGCAGTGAGGGCAGGTGGTGTCCACTGCCTGGCTGACCCCACCTTCATCCCTTCTCCCACAACCAGCTGAAGGATGCAGTCCCCCCACAGGAGAGCCCCGGGCCTCCTCGCCCCCTGGAGTATGTGGCCCTACACGCCCTGCTCCTCTGTGAGGGCCTCTTTGACCCCTATCAGACCTGGCGCCGCCAGCACAGTGGGTGAGACCCAGCCCTCAGCAGGGGACAGGGAGGGGGACAGGACTTGGGGTGGGGGCAGCCTGGGAGAGTGTGGCAGTGGGGGAAGGCAAGGGCAAAAGATGTGCCAACAGCTGTGAGGGGAGGGGAGGCCCAGGAGGGGTGAGCCCAACCTTAGCCCTCCCCCATCTGCCCCATTCCCCAGGGAAGTCATCAGCTCCAGGGAGAAGAGCAAATACAAGTTCCCCCCAGCAGTTCTGCCCCGTGAATTCAGCACCTTCTTCCAAGGTCAGGACCGGGCCCTTCCTGCAAGTCCCTGATTCCAGCTTGATGCAGGGCGCAAGGGTGGCTCCCGGGGGATTTGAGGACTCTCCCGCAGGAAGGCCAAGTGCAGGGGCAGAGAGGGGATTAAGGGCACAATTGGGCAAAATGCTCAACTCCTCCCAGGGAGCAAGGGCCTCCGACATCCTCTCCCCTCCCGTCTCCTTTCTGCATCACGCAGCCCATGTGGATCGATGGGGATCCTCGGAGAATCCCTGCCCATTGAGCCCCTCAGTCTCCTCAGGTCAATGTTTCTACTGCCTGCTACTCACCGAGGAGCTGATCACCAGGGCACCTCTGATGACCCTATGTCTTGGGTTCCTCCGAGACAGCTCCCCTCCCAGAGCTGTCTCCCCACTGCCCCCCAACAATCCAGACACCTCGTAACTGCATGGAGTATCTTAGAGACACTGAGACACCTTAATACCCCACAGCAGATCCTGTCCCCATCTGAGCAATGCCTCACCCAGAGCCCACCGCAAGTCCTGGCCTCACCAGGAGCCCCTGCCCTGCCCCCTTCTCCCCACAGCCTGGGCACTCTTCTTAAACAGACCTCTCTCTCTCTCACTCTCTCTCTCTCCCACTTTAAATCCCTGGATGGTGGCTCTCCAGACCAAATCCTCTCCTCCCCACAGCCTCTTCCTTCCGCGCCAGCAACTCTGTTCCCCCACTACGCACGCACCCATCCTCTCATTCCTAGAAAGCAATGGGCTTTTCCTGGGGCCTCGCCTCCAAAGCCCTGTTCCCTGTGCGTCACCCCACCTCCCACCCACCCCAATCCCACCTGCATCTCTCCCCAGCAGCCCCATGTTCTCCGCTGTCATTTGCATTTTCCCGTCCAGCTTTGCTGGAGCCAGGCCAGGTGACCCTCCCACATACGAATCTCTGAAAGCCCCTAAAAGCCCCTGGATGGGTGCAGGAGGGGGACGGAAGGCCATCTGTACTGCAGCTACAGCAGGGTCCTCACAGCAGGGTTGGCAGGGTCTAACGGCCACAGATCAGAGGGTGCAGATTTGCATCTTAGAAACTAAAGCTGGGATCACTCTGAGGAAGTGGGACTCCCCCCGCCGCCCCCCCCCCCCACACACACTTTGGATCTGAAGTCATCTGAGACCTTCAAGGCTAGACCTTCAAGGCCAGATCCAAGCCCCCTGAGGCTTCCCCTGGGTAGCAGGTCCTTTCTTCCTTATACACCCCAGCACTCTCTGTAGCCCCTCAGACCTCCTGGAGCAGAGAGCCAGGCCTCCCCCTCAGATGAGTCTCCCAACCCTGTTACTTGTCTCACCGTCCTCCACCCCCCACCCCAGCCACCTTGGTGACACTGCCGTGCCCTCTCCCATGCAGAGAGCCTGCAGCTTGCCGAGCACCTGCCTCCCACGCTGCTGTTGCGGCTCATCCACCTCTTTGGCGCTGTCCTTGCAGGAGGGAAGGTCGGTTGGGTGTGAGCCCATTGGGCCGAGGGAGGGTGGGTGCCCTAGGCTCTGCTGCACCAGCCCCAGGCCTACCGCTCCTCTGTCCACCGATGCAGGAGAATGGGCAGATGGCTGTGAGCGCCGGCTCCGTGCAGGGCCTGCTGGGTGTGGTGCGGGGCTGGGGGCCGGGGCCTGCCCGGGACCCCCACCTCATGCCGCTGGCCCTGGAGGCCCTGGTGGGTGCAGTGCATGTCCTGCACACCAGCCGCACACCGCCCCGTGGGCAGGAGCTCCGTGCCCTGCTTGAGGGCTACTTCTGCGTCCTTAATGCCGACTGGCCCACGGGCCCGAACCCAGGCCCGGAAGAGACCCTTGTCAGTCTGCGGGTCAGCATGCTTGGTGGGTATGGGGCTCCTCTGTTGCTGGGGTGGGCACCCTGGAAGCGGGAGGTCTGAGTGAAGATGCAGAGGCTGGACTGGGGGCCAAGATTTAGTGGGAGATGGGGAGGGCCTGACCTTTGACCCCCTCCACAGAGGCCATTCCCAGGATGCTGGCATGCGAGGACCGGCCAGTGCTGCAGGCCACCTTCCTTAGCAACAATTGCTTTGAACACCTCATCCGGCTCATCCAGAACAGCAAGGTGGGCTGCCAGGCTGCGCATGCCGGGCGTGGAGCCAGAGGCTAGGGACACAGACTGGACCCAGCTGGTGCTTTGTGGCCAGTAGGAGGGGAAGGCTGGAGCCCAGACGAGGGCCCGTCCTCAAGGGCTGCTGTCCGAACTGGGGCTGGGCCTCAGGACAGCTCTGCACCCTACGAGGGGACGGCGGGGGTGGGGGTGCTGGTGTTCTAGGGCAAGAGCTGCCTGCCCCTTGGTCTCCTGTTCCCCAGCTTTACCTGCAAAGCCCAAGGAGGAGGGCCCTGCTGCTTTCAAATGTGGTGCCCATTCATATTTGCCCACTCACTGCCCTCTGACTCTCCCTGTCTGGCCAGACATTATGGGCAGCTCAGCCCCCAACTCTTGCCTAGTGCCAGGTGGGGGTACTTGGCTGGGGACTCACACATCCATCTGGGGCAGAGCCCTGGAGGCTGCCCCAGGTTCTGCTCTAATCGCCCCCTCCCCTATCTCCCTCCTCCTTTCTCTTCCCTATTCCCTCCACCCGTGCCCCTTCCCCACAGCTGTATGTGCAGGCCCGGGTACTCCCTGAGGGGGACAGGGACCTGGCTACCCGGTTACTGACCGAGCCCGATGTCCAGAAGGTATCACCCTGGGGTTGGCCAACTCAGGCACCCACCCCTCTGGGG